TGAGAGAGAAGAAGCGCGCGTGTGTGTGTGTGTGTGTGTGTGTGTGTGTGTGTGTGTGTGTGTGTGTGTGTGTGTGTGTGTGTGTGCGCGCGCGCGTCCGCGTTATGGCGTGTGACAGATGAGCAATGTGACGGGGAGTGAAATGAATTGGAGGGTCTTATGGCCGCCGCGGCGACCTTCACTCTCCAGGGTTTTGTGACATATGCGGCCATGACGGGGCAGCACCCTCCATATCGGCTCAAGGATGAACATTTCCCTTATGGAGGTGACCTGTCAATCATCCTCACTGGATGTTCGACATCCAACATGCGCTAACGACGCAGGTGTCTGTTTAAGACAGAGCAGTCATGAAAAGATGAAAATGTATGTCCATTTTCCTCCTAATATACTGTACTTGACTTTTCTTTAGATGATTTAGACTCCTATTAAACAGAATGCTGACTTTATTCTTTGTAAAATGGTTACTTTTCTCAGAAACGTCAAATATTTTTCGAATACTGTATGAACATGAAGACTTTGTTCCAGTAATTTGACTTCATTTTGATATTGTATAGTGTGTACCCACTGGGGTAGGCTCCGGCACGCCCACCTTGCTCCCTCCCCACCATTCCAACCGCCACTGAAATGTAAGCTCGCCACATGCTGATGATTTCCTCTTGCTTCATGTCTGTGACAGGTGTTGATTGCAACAGCTCCTCCTATGGGGCCAATGACTCAAGCATGTATGATGATTTGACATGATCTTAACTTGGTTTCGGAGAAATTCTACTAAAGTGTTAGAGGACCAGACAGTCAGGAGCTGCTGAACTTTGAAATCCTCTTAGCGTCCTTCAACTATCTGGCTTGCTCTCATTCATTCGTCTTCTGCATCTGAGCATGTGTATGTGTACAATATACACACACACACACACACACACACACACACGCACACACATATGTGGCATGCAGCATCTCCCCTCGCCATTCCTGAGGCCCTCCCTGTCAGCTTCCCCGCAAGGTTATTTCCAAGGACAGCCGGCTCCCAGTATCCCCCTTCCCGCCACGTGATTGGATGGCAGGTATTAAAGGGCCGCTTCCTCCTCACATACATGAGCACATGGCCACCAGTGCAGCAGCACTCCCGTCGCTCCTCGAGGAGCCGCTGTGCACATGCATTCACACGCGCACACACACACACACACACACACACACACACACACACACACACACACACACACACACACACGCTCGTGTAGTGTTACAAGATGGTGATGAAATTATCCATCAGTTTGTTGCCGTGCGCTTCTCATCAAAAATAATAATAAGCAAGTGCTGGTGATAGTTTTACTTTTCTTTTTTTTTTTTTTTAATATTGCCTCATATTTTAGAATACATGTATTTATTTCCAACGTTTGTGTGCTTTTTTTTAAATGTTTTCCCCAATATATTTTTTTTGCACTATGACTACTCTAATTACAAGGAGACGATGCTTGACCGTTTGGGTGCTTGGACCCCTGGCTGCCCTCTGCGTGCCAGCTCACTCATCATACAGCTTGCTTTTGCAGTGAGGAAAGGGGGCAACAAAATCAGTACTTGCGACGTGCCTCCAGACAGCTTACACTGTCCTTTTGCTTTATGGCATCCTGGCACACTACAAGCTCAGCAGACCTGAAAGGCAAACAGCGTCCGAGCACACAATGAGCCCCCGACTCCAAAATTAGCCAGCCGGCTGCCACCTGCTCTTCCAGCACAACAGGAAGAGACGATTGACAAGCATACTAAAGACAAAAAAAAAAAACATTGCTCGGTCATGTGCGCCAAATAGGTGCAACACTGCTCACCGATGAACGATAAGAGCAGCAGAAAGCTTGTTTGCCCTCAGCCTAGTAAACTTGTTGACTGGAGAGAGCATCAGGAGAGTCAATGAATTTTGCTGCAGTGGTGGCAGAGCTGAAAGAACAGCTACCGAGGGGGCGAAGGACACCCGCATGGTCAAATACAGGAGCTGTAGCAAATGTAATAAGAATAATAAGAGTAATTACGCACAAGTGAGGCTGATGTTTTATTTTATTTTCTGATCATTTTTGAGGGGGTTTTTGTTTGTTTTTCCATATTTTTTTTGTCTAATAGAGTATTTTCTTTCCTTGCTATTTTGTCTATTTTTCACTAAATGTGCTTGGTTTCCTCATTTTTGTGTATTTCATTTTATGTGTACATAATTTACATCTCTCACGTGTATATTCTTCTAGTTTTCATTATATTTTCATATTTTTCTCATTTTTGAGTATATTTTTATACATTTTTCTCAATATTTTCAAATCTTGTTTTAAATCTTTGTGGTTCATGTATTTGCTATTTGGTGTTTTTGTTTCATATTTGTATAGTTTTATCAAATATTTTTGTCTTTTTTTTTACATTTTCTTGAATTTTAGTGATACTTTCACACTTTATAGTATTTTCCACATTTGAAATATTTGTGTTTTACTTTTAATTTGTATTTTTCATGTTTTTATGGTATCATCCAATATATTTGAAACATTATTTTGTGGCGTTTTTTTTTTTTTTGTAATATAGATTTCTGTCTGACAACTAATTTCATTTATTTTTCATCATTTTTCTTAGCATTTTTCTGCTTTTTTTTTTTGTCGACTAATTCTACAATTTTAAGTTACTTTCGAATAGCTGTATTTTCTTTTGGTCACGATAGTGGAGTTTCACCTCCATTGGAACCACAACTTGAGTTTTTCATCCAGCTCTCGTTCTGAAAGTCGTTTAACCGTGCCGCTGCATCTAACGCTGTAGATGCCGACGATGACCCAGCAGAAAAAGTACCTTTTCAGCTGATTCGGTCTTTCGTAACATAGGTGAGCATGCGACATGGTCCACTTGCGGTATAGATTCCATTGGCCTGATGGCACTTCGATGACTTGAAGCGCGGTCAGAGTTATATTTTTGCGTTGTTATCCGTCATCCACGCTAACACCCACTGGAATTTTCCATCCCCACCCACCTGACTCACTCCTTCATCTCCGTCATTTCTCCATCCCTCCCTTTTTCCTTTTCTGGTGATCCTCCTTAACCTCATCATCCATCGCCGGTGATCCAGAGTCTGTGTTTAGCGCCCCTCCCTCCCCCCTCCTTTCCGCGCCTTACTCTCCCCTCTCACTGCAGGCGACCCTGCGAGTGAAGCACAGATTATGTCAGACGTTTCTAAAAGCGGATTAGCCGGGATCACCTTCACACACGCGAGCGTGCGTAGATGACTCCCATGCGAACGACCCTTTCTAATCAAAAGTATGCTCGTGCAAGTGTGGACAAGCTTCTTTTTTGGCATGTCACTGCCGGGTTTGTTTTGAAATGGATGGCAAACAAGTAGCACTCTCTGTACTTACTAGTCTTGTGTTTTATGACATCCATGAGCCAATGCGAGAAATGTATGAAAATGTCTGTCTTTGAATAGCATGATGTGGAGCCGCGGCTCTCAAACTGGGGTCCGTGGACCACCACTGGGGTTGGATCTACTCATGTTTTTATGATATGAAATAACGAGAGTAAGACAAATCATTTGAAGACTTTTTTTTCCACTATTAATCTAACCTATGGCCTGTAATAGGCCCTGACCGATATGGTTTCTGATTCCCGTTCCGATACATGGGAGGCAAAAAAAAATCCTAATGAGGCAATTAATTCTTTTGAAATATAACTTAGTAAAACTAAACATCGGACCCATGCATCGGTGAGGATAGGTTCTTCAGGGTGGGAAAAAAATGCAAGTAGCAAACAACACACACACACACACACACACACACACACACACAAAAACATAACAAAATTATTCATCATAAAAGTGCTATGCGAGCCAGTGATGGAGTATAGGCAAACTCAAAGTTATCATGTTTAAACATCTCTGACAGCCAGATTAAATAATGACCATATTTTGTCCAATATCTGTGATTCTAAATGGAGCACAGCACTCACTGTGAGCCTGCGGTGCATGACACTGAGACCTTGTGACATTCGGCATCCATCCGTTGCCCTGACTCACGCCTCACGTCACTTATGTTTCCAAAAATTCTCCATGGCCGTCATTTGTCTCAGCCCATGCGCTTACTTGTGAATGTGCGTGACACCGTGCTAGATATGAGGACCAGTGGTGTGGGTTTTTTTTGGGTACCTCTTCTTTACCCCACTATTGATGTTATTTATTCTGACAACTTTTTAGTTGCGCTCACTATATTACTTAATTTGGATCATTTGACATGTTACTTCATTCATTGTGCACCTGGGTGTCTTTTAAGGCTGAAAACAAACAAACAAAAAAAAAACATCACAGGGCTTTGTCAGCTCATCGTTTTTATTTAATGCATCACCACTCGTGGCTCTAAGACCTTTGAAAAAGCATTTTGGGAAGATGATAGAAGCACAGTCGTTTGCTTTTATGACGTATGAAAGGCTTTTTGTGTGGTCAGGGGCTCAGGGTGAGTGCAGTCTTTGATGTGGACGGCTGGGGCCGGCATGCTATTCTACCATTTTAATCAACTACAGCAGGGGTCGGGAACCTATGGCTCGCGAGCCATATGTGGCTCTTTTGATGATTGCATCTGGCTCGCAGATAAAAAAAAAATATTCTCGTTTGTTTATTAACGCATCCGTCGATCAATTTTTTTCACTGCTTATTTCCTGTTTGGGCTGCAGTTGGCTCCAGGAGCCATTTTGATTGGATGATACTGGCCAACGTTGCCGTTGCTGTGGAAACAGGTATACGCTCCCTTTTGAATCAACCCGCTCGGCCATTAGCTCAAAGCTAATCCTTAGCGAATAAGATGGCGAAAAATAAAAAAGATGACGAGTTTGGTAGACGTCAGGACGAATGGACCGAAGGATTCGCCTATGTGGAGAGAACGGGTTCTGCGGTGTGTCTGATTTGCAATGTCAAAATACCATCGATGAAACGGTCGAATGCACAGCGGCACTTTGACACGCCCCATGCTACGTTCGCATCAAAACACTGTGCGAGAGTTAGATGAAAGGAAGCGAGCAAGCTACTGAGCAGTGTGCAAGCTAGCCAGCAGTAACTTCGCATATGGACCCGGCAAGATGACTTGCATTCCGATAGTTTTGCTGGATTTTTAGCAATCGTGAGGAACGGAAAACCATTCACATTAATGGTGAGTATTATCACGAAATTATTTTTAAAAATACATTCAAAGGCTTATTATACTGACATTTTGTTGAAATCACTTTTAAAATAGTTATATAAATATATAT